GCCTGTAAACACATCGTAAATGAGAGGATTGACCGCTGAATGGTCAGTGGTGCCAAGAATCCCAATTAGTAGTCTCTGTATGACCCTCGACTCTCTTTTCTTTCTTATTTACTTCTTTTTATGGTTACTTTTCACTCATTCATTTCTTCATATTTACCTAGCATTCACTAGGTGCTGGGCTTTGCAGGGCATAAAGAAGGCATGTAAGACAGGGACCTTTTAATTTACTGGGGGAGAAATGACAAACTGTACACACAACCTTTCCTGGGAAGCAGCGTGGTGTGGTGGAAAGGGCACAAGGAAGTGGTCAGATTGCTTAGTTGTTGCTTTAAGATCTATTTACTTCCACCCGTCTTCTGTGTGCTGAGCACTGTCCGGGCTCTGGGAAAGCCGTGATGACCAAGGTTACTCAGGAACTAGCGGGGCAGATGGACAATCAAATGAATCGACAAGTAAATATACATATGATGATGTGAGGTAGTAACTGCCAGGAAGGAAAATAAAGGAAGAGGAGATGATAGAGAGGGCTGGGAGGATTTCAGAGAAGACAAGTGACATTTGAATAGGAAAGTGACACCTGAATGAAGGGAGAAAGATTCCAGCCAGAGGAACGGTGAATGCAAAAACCCTGAGACAGGAATGTGCTTGGCATGTGCAGGGAAGACAGAGAGGCCAGCGTGGCTGGAGTGCAGTGAGCAGAGGGAGGGCCTGGCGTTGGGGGGCCTTGTAGGCCATGCCGCTTGTCGTGGGGGCCCTTGGAGAGTTGAAAGCAAGGAAGTAGCAGCTGATAGCCTTTTTAGAAGATGATTCTGGCTACTGACAGAAAGTGGATTGCAGAGAGGCAAGAGTGGAAGCAGCAGTCCCAGTTAGGAGACTGCGGAGCAGATCAGACAAAAGCGGATGGTGACTTAGCGGGAAGCAGGAGTGTGGTGACAAGCAGTCCAATTTGGGATGCATTGTGAAGACTGAGCTGCCGTGTCGTGCTGGTGAATTGGAGATGGGGTGAGCGAGACACTCATTAAGGATGACTTTAGTTCTGCCTCCTCTTAGATAGGTGCCCTTCGGCAAGCTTCGTAACCTCTCTGGACCTCAGTTCTGCCACGTAAGAGAAAGAGAATCCCTTTCACATCAAGTAGTAACTTGTATCTGAATACTGCTTCGCAAGTCTATAGAACATTCTCATACACATGGCTTGCATCATTTTATGATTCTTCCAGCACACAAAGTTGTCCACAAGTGTTTTTTGTTTGTTTTTGTTTGTGAAATCTGAAATAAACTGTTTTCCAGTGCTTCAGAAATCTCTCTACAAACACCAAACACATTAATTACAGATTTTTTTTTATGTTCTTTGAAGTAAGGCCCCAAATAATCTCCATTAAAAGAATGAGACAGATGTGAATTACTTTATGTATCTGAAATTTTAAAAAATACATATTTTATAAGTAATTTATGGCTCACATTTTAATGATGCAGGCTTATCTCCTAATTAGACTAATTAGGGAGATGATAGTGATTACGACTACATTGTCTTTTCAAAGACATAATCATATATTTGAAGTTCAGAATATATGTGTTCCTAAGCACGATTTATAATTTCTTACAGATTCGTGGGATCACTGGGTACCATCATCATAAAATGTAAAGACTTTCGAATTATACAGTTGGATATTCCTGGAATGGAGGAATGTTTGAATATAGCCAGTTCCATTGAGGTAAGTATTTTGGAGGCAAAATCTGATGGGTTATATTATGACTCAGTGCAGCTCTGATGTTTCTTCATTAGGTATTTGGTCATGTTCTCTGACTCAGATACTGAAAACTGACGGGAAAAGCCTCACTCCGATTCACTGCAATATGAGTGTAGTGGGATGTTGTTGACTTATAGCAGCGTTTACTGTTACTCATTTATGTGAGTAACCCCAATTCCATGAATTGCTTGGAATTCCATAGAATTGCATTCCGATGGCTTTATGGAATTGCCATTGTTTTGTTAAACCAGTAAAACAGATACAGTTAGAACTGGTTTTGATCATGTTATGATGGGCAGGTATTGATTGGGGGGAAGCCCTCGTTGATTCGACCTTCCCCACCTGCCGCTGAGGGCTTCCTGAGAGACATCGAAAACCACTAGTGAGAGCTAATCGAGCACAGTGTCTACTTTTCTGCCAGATTAGCAGCTAGAATTGGAACTGTTTTTCTTGAATATACTAGTATATCTTTTGTAATGCAATCCTAGAAATTTGAGTAGAAATATTAATA